AAAAAAAAAAAAAAAAAGGTCGTCCTCCTCCCCCTCCTCCGCTCATCTTCTTCTTCTTCTCCTTCTTCTCTCCTCGTCGTCCTCTCGTCTTCTTCTTCTTCCCCTCCTCCCCCTCGCGTTTTCATCTTTCTCCTCAACCTTTCTTGAACTTCTTCTTCTTCCCCTCTTCACCTCTCTTCTTCTTCTTCTTCTTCTTCTTCTTCTTCTTCTTCTTCTTCTTCTTCTTCTTCTGCTCCATTCGCTAGGTCTTCTTCTCTCCTCTTCTTTCCCCCCTCCTTCCCTACTCCCTCCCTGCCTTTCTCCATCCTCCCATCCATCCATCCCTCCCTCCATCCCTCCTTCCATCCCATCTCGCCATCCCTCCCTCCCTCCCATCTCGCCATCCCTCCCCCCCTCCATCCATCCATCGATCTTCTTCTTCTTCTTGGACGTTGTTAAGCATTCTCCCTCCATCACTCCATCCTCCCATCTCACCATCACTTCCCCCCTCCATTCATCCATCCATCCATCCATCCATCTTCTTCTTCTTCTTCTTCTTCTTCTTGGACGTTGTTAAGCAGTGTCCCTCCATCCTCCCATCTCGCCACCTGTGGCATACTGCACCCACACTGGCCTGCAGGGCCCGACCAGATGGAAATTCAGGGCCCTACAGGCCCTGTGTCATTTCAGCCTAAAAGCCTGAAAACAAGGGCCTACAGGCGCTGTGTCGTTTCAGCCTAAAAGCCTGAAAACGAGGGCCTACAGGCCCTGTGTTGTTTCAGCCTAAAAGCCTGAAAACAAGGGCCATTTTCAGGCCCTCATAAAGTCGACCTGCCCTGAAACTTAGGCACCAGACCAGGGTTTTAGCACAGGCCATTTTGGGCCTGTTTTCAAGACAACCTTTGTTTGAACTTCAACGCCAGGGTCTGGCACGTTTTGGCATTGGCAAGAGCAGCCTCCTGGACGGGCCAGCACTATATAAGACTGGCCCACCCTGCAGGTAGTGACGAGGTAGTTCATAGGGACTTCCCAGGCACTTCACGTGCAGGAGGCAGGAGGCAGTCTTCAGGATTCGGCAGCAGCACTCTGGAGGAAGGCTGCAGTAGTAGTAGTAGTATTAGCAGTGGTCTTCAGCGCTGGGCGCTATTAGGAGCTAGAGTAGCATTGGAGAGAGAGAGATGGTTGGCGGAGGCCAGGGAGACTTACCTGTGGCGCCATAGCTCCAGCTTCATCTTTGATGTACCTGCAACAAGGCGCCACCTTCACAGGTTAGTACCGGACTGAGAGAGAGAGAGAGAGTTCTTCTTCTTACTCTTCTAAGTCCACCATCTCTCCCTMACCCTCTCGCTACCTAACTTCCCAGTATCTGCAGACTACGAGAGAGAGAGAGATTGGTGACTTTGGGACTTGACGACATTTGGATCCAGACTCTACATTGGGATTGAGACGTTGGACGAGGGATTATTTGGGGCCTGTACCGAAGACTTGGTGTTGACGACATTCCCATCTTCCCCTCTTCTTCGTCTAACCCCCCTCTTCTTCGTCTGTGTACGGTTGTGGACTGTCGCATTCTTCCTGTGTGAGCGCCAGGCTCCTTCACACCATGGAATGATGATGATGTATGTTTGGTCTGCATTGCAACATTGATTGTTCGGATCATTGGTATATTAGCCTTCCGCTGCGCTATCTTGTACTATGTGAGAGAGGTCGGTTCTTGTTCTGGTCTGCACCTTTACGGTATGCGACACCACCCCTTCCCCCCTCCATCCATCCATCCACCCATCTTCTTCTTCTTCTTCTAGTTCCTCTTCAACATTGGTTAGCAGCCTTCCTCCATCCCTCCATTCTCCCATCTCGCCATCCCTCCCCACCTCCCTCCATCCATCCATCCTCCTTCTTCTCTTTCTTTTTCTTCTTCTTCTT